GTAATTCAGATCTATCTGGTTCTTCATCCTGCTCGTCCTCGGTTAAATTTTCATCATCTTGTGGTTCTTCGTTGCATCTTGCATAATTATGTTCACGTTGAATCTTTGCTGCAGGTGACATGGAGTCTGATTTATCTGGTGATAGTGAACGTTTTCTAGGAAGCCCGAGCCGTCTCCTTCCTGTATCAGAAAAATCACTGCTGTTAGGTATATCCAATATTGAAAATACTGATGGTACTGCATTTTTTTTAATCTACAGGTCTCTTCTGCAGTCGTTGGAGGAACAATGTAATCCAATCGTTCAAAATGGTTACTGCATATGAAGCTGTATCGAGTAGCTCTCCACACTTGGCCATTGTTGTTTATTTTCATAACTGCATTCTCCCATTTTTCTAGCATGATTGGATCTTTTAAAGGGAACCTGTATATACATGCATTTGTAGTTATAGTATCATATTTTGATATATGACAGGGACAAGGGGTAATTAATTTTATATTTTGTAGTGTGCTTTTTATAATTAAATTAGCCCAGTGAGCGCCAGGGCTTTCCCCTTGACAAGTGAACTTGTCTGGTGTTAGACAGAGTAAAATAATAAAGTAGGGCACAGTGCAACTCAGTGGGTTAATTTCACAATTTGTTTCTCTGAGCCCTTTACAGGGCCTTTTTAGGAACAATTGTCACTTGTGATATACAGTAGAACTGTTGTTATTAATGGCATTCAGGCCACTTGTGGAAATGGTCATTGAGTACTTACAGTTTGTGTAGTTTTACTGTACATAGTTTTACTGTAAATATATGTGTATTGCATGCCTGGTATGGTCAATTGTTTTCAGTATGTAATTTATCTAAAAAAATACTATATATTTACCCATGTCAGGTGATGTGTAATACAATCATTGCAACCTAAGGCTGAATTAATACATTGTTTACATTGTTGCAAAAATAAACACTTGCCTGTGAAATGAAATTTTTGGCTTATTTTCCTTATTACTGCTAAAATATCCATTACTTTTGCAGTTGCGTATCGTACAGTTAACTGGCATGTTATATTTTCCTTCTGGAAGGAGATATCTTTTGTTTTTTTACTTCACGAAATGATTTTTTTCCTAAAATCTCGGAAAAATTGTACTCTGGCAGGTGAAAAAGTACTGGGGAGAGTTAAAATTTGTTGAAAGATTTGTTTCTGTTTTTGCACGAAAATACTCATTTTTAGTGATACATAGCCTACTTAAAAGGTAAAAAGTAAACGAAAAAGTAAGATTGATGTAAGTTTAGTCCATATTCGCTGTGTTCTTTTCAAATTCCTCACCAAAAGTCGTGAAAACACAAAAGTTTGTCGATGTTTCTTGGCGGCTTTTTTGCCGAACTTGTTTTTCACTCATCAAATAAGTTGAGATAAAATGACAAAATGTTTCTAAAATTTACTTCTTCTGAAAGACCAGTTTCTCTAGTTCGCTAGAGGCATAGAAAATCTCGACTTTCAAATAGTTGGCTGAAAAATTATGAAGATTTCACATAAAATGATAAACATTTTTCATACGGAATTTAGTAAATTTCCGCGTAGGGGCCTGGATCATACCTACAAAACGAGCTTCAATTTCCGCCATCTTGGCTTCAATTTTTGAGCCGCAGTTATCGTTCCAGTATATAGTAGAGTTCACTGACCTAGGCTCGGCGCCGAGCTCCTTAAGCTCGGAACCGAGCTCCTTAGGCTCGGAACCAAGCTCCTTAGGCTCGAAACCGAGCTCCTTAGGCTCGGAACCGAGCTCCTTAGGCTCGGAACCGAGCTCCTTAGGCTCCGAGCAGAGGCTCCATAGGCGCGGAGCCGGCTCCATAGGCTCGGAGCCGGCTCCATAGGCTCCGAGCCAGCTCCATATTTTCGGAGCCAAACACCATAGGCTCGAAGCCGAGCTCTCAATAACTCGGAGCCTAGTCTAAAAAGCTCGGAGCTTAGTCCAAATTAGGCCTTTCCTGATTGCGCTGAGCACTTTTTGAACACTTTTTTTAGTTTGGAGCACTATTTTGCATGTTGAGAAACCTTGAGCACTTCTTCGCACTTTGAGCATTGTTTCAGAAATATTTCACATTTTGAGGGAATTTCGAGCAACAAAAAGTCAGCGATTATAGAATTCGATTCGTACCTCGATTAACTAAACATACAATTCGGTATCAGGTTTAAAAATTGACGGGTATTATACTATTATATATTCTATATATAATTTAGGTAAAACTCCAAAAGAAAAGCCGTACAGCTGCATATGACATTACGGTTAATTAAAAAATTAGAACGCTGACTTTTTCGCGTTCTCTTTTTTTGTCGTAAACAACTCCACATACGGAAGTTTGTTCCATATATGGAGAAAGACGTTGAAACAGGTTTAAAAAATGCTGATTGTAAAAAAATTATGAAAATCTTAGAGGTAGCTGTTCACAATTTTAGCACTTTTTGAGCACTTTTTAGCCATTTTCGCCAGCACTTTTTTAGGATTTTACCTGCGCAATCGGGAAAGGCCTAGTCCAAATAGTTTTTCACCTGCTTTCTCTTCCAACATAAGCCTCCTTATTGTTGTGTTTCACTCATTTGCTTCCAAGCCGCCGAACAGAAATGATCAATCTTCTAAAGAACAAGCCATTTCTTGAACTGCTGGGCACGTCTGAGCCTGATCAACAACAAGTGCGACTGGAAACAGCAGCCGCCGAGCAAGTACACTGCCTGTGTCTCTGTGTAGAAAACGTTACGAAAAGAAAATATTTAATGCCGAAGTATGTAATGAAGAAACTCCGCACGGTGGTCGGTAGCCTGCTCACAGGCTCTATTATATAGAGCCTGCGACTTTTATTGATATTTTTTCAATACGCCCCCTTTGAGATAATTGAATATCCGGTAAATAGTAGCCAATCAAAGTAAGTTTTGTTAATTAGATTACCAGAGGTTATTA